AGATTTAGCTTTAGCGACACATATTTGGATAAATGTATAGCTTACTTTTGTTTAATAAAGCGCACGCAACTAGCCTGACAGAGGGTTAACTAAAAAAAAAAAAAAAAATATAAAGAGTAATATAAGTAGCTGAGTCAAAGCAGTTGCCTTATATGAATGTACAGGTATATCACTAATAAAGATCATGAAACAATTTTATAAATCAATAGTTCATAAATATTATAAACAACTTCTTTATCTTTGAAATTTATTTTAGTACTAATCTAGCCTTGACAGGTTAGTCTTCTCACAAGGAATAGCAATAAACAATAAGATGAATATCCTGTAAAAGAGAAAACCTCTATTGAGTTTTGTTTAATAAAAATAGATAGTATATTTTAGAATAGTTATTCTATGTAATATTGCTGCAAATATACAAATAAAACAAGGCTGAGGCAACATTTAAAAAAAAAAAAAAAAAACCATACTTAAGTATAATTACTATTAGATGTCTTATTATTTGAACTATTAATTAAAGATCAATACATCAACTATTATATAAACTGATTATTCAAAAAAATTATAAATTTACTCCAATTTTTTCTTTTACTTTTTTTTTCTAATTTCAATACTAATTAACTATTATTAACATGTTAGATTCCATAGTGAGTGGTAATAAGTTAATTAGTAAGAAGGATGAATTTATCTTTAGATAATTGCATTTGTATATTAGAAAGATATAAAAATTATAAATGCATAATCATATACAGTATATACTATATTATAATAAATTTATCTATTTTAGATATCAATAAAATAATTAGAATTATATTCAATAATAGATATTAATTTGTTATTTAATAGATTCTTTTTGTTGTATATAGTATGTACTGTATTTAATCTTTTGATTCTTTTATGATACTTTTTTTTTATATAATTTAGCTCCAATATTTAATAAATAATAAAATAATCAACAATAATGATTTGATAATGGTGATAATGATAGGTTTGAAATATTGCACCTTGTAAATAATTAATTTGTTAAATGAATGAAATATTATTTCCTGAATCAAACTTAGATATATTCTTAAAAAAATTTTTTTTATAATATATCGTAATCCATATTAATTTGTCTATAGCTATTTTTGAATAATAAGCTAAATTGTCAATAAATTTTTATAACAAATTAAAGTTATTTACTTGAATAATACCTTTTCAACTAGTATAGAGTACAAATATATTTATAATTACTCTATTCCCTATGGATCTGAGTTTTGCATTTACAAACCGTCAAGATCAATAATAAAATAATAATTCTTGTAAAACAGATGTTAATTATAACTTTGTATTATGATTGCCTTAAAGTTATGGCATTTACTTGATAATTCTGACGAATCAGGAGCATTGCCAGTTGATCAACGACATGATCACTTGGATCCCAGAACTCTTAAAATCTCCCGATTTAAGGATGCAAGATTTAAATATTGCATACAACTCGGTGTTGCTTATATTAAGGATTATTAGGCATACGCCATATAATCAAAAAAGTTACGATGACCCCGTCGAAGTTGACGCGGTAAAATCGAAATCTTTATTTCTAATAATTGGATCTCATGATGATCCAGAAATATTACTTAAAACTCGTGAAGCTTACGAATCCATTGAGCAATACGTTCACAAGCTTCAATATGAACACAACGAAAACGATGATGTTATTTATGACCACAATGTGTGTTCTTCCGTTGCCGAAGTTATTCAATCGCTCAAACGACATTTGGAATCATACGCCCGCGAAGTAGATCAGATAAGCAAAGTTGCAAGCCGAGACGATCTTAGGCAAGAACTTGTAAAAATACTCAGTAATAGGGAATATAATGTTAACCAAGGTTATGTCGAATCGAGAAGTGTGGGATCAGCAATTGGTTCGTATATGAGAATGAGATTGTTGTGTCATTAAAATGGATATTCATCTTTTCTCTTTTTCATACAGACGATTATCCCGAGATTCCTTTCTATGATGTTGTTGATGACCCTGCAGGAAAAGAAGATGACGGCGGATTATTTAGTGAACCTAATGTTGACGTCGATTTAGAAATATTTGCCAAAGAGATGCTTCCTAATTTCCAATTCCATAAAAGGGAAAGAATGTCTGGGGACGGTTCACCGAAGGGTAGGAAATTACTAAAAGCGCGCACTCTTAGCAAACTTGGGGGTATCGCCTATGAAAGTAACGCCCGAAGGAACTTGGGCGGCGGGAAAACGTATCAAAAGAATGAATTTCGCAGTATCCACAATAATCGTAAGGCAAATACCAGTCGCCCACCATCAGTCCACGTGGACGATTTTATGTCCGGAAAAATTCCCGCCAACCAGCAACATCCGGATATGTTAAATAATTCTTCGGTGGTTACAACTAATTCGGTTTCCACCAGCACTGCCACTACCTCTACCGTCACTACCACCGCCGCCACAACACAGCAAAAGAAATTGACCGCTCCAAACCGTCTTCCAACCCAAAATAAGCGCGGGGGGATAACAACATCTACTAATACCCAAATAGCCACAAGTAACCGCGGCGGACGTGGCCGACGTTCCAGCACAAGTTCGGTTGCAACATCACGCGGTGCATCACGTGGAGGTAGTAGTAGTGGCCGAGGGACAGGTGGGATCGGAAGAGGCGGAAGCACCAATACAAATCTTATCGGTGCATGGGAGATGGGAAACAATACCCCATGGACCGGCGGTCCTCCGTCACTTCCTGTCCTCATACCTCCACCGTTACATAAATACATTGAATTTGATAGACAGCGGGATTATAATAGATACGATGGTCAGACGATACGAACCGGATATTATGATAATCAATATTATGGTGTGCCTTCACAAATAACACCATATGACCGTCCCCCGCTACAACAATCTCCACCTGGTATAGCACCTCGAATTAAGAATCCGGGTGATAATAGAGGACGAACTGTTCCGCAAGAGTGGCCGCGCTCCATGGTCTCTCAGCCTGTACGAAGGCCAGAACGTTCATTTGGTAGGCGATAGGTAATTTTTTTTTTTTTTTTGGCCTTCATAATTAAGTGCCAATTCTCTTGAATATCCGATCAATTTCGCCAACAGATAGATAAGTGATA